TATATTATATATACTTTAAACTGCATCTTATATATATGTATATATACATTTTTGTGTGTGTATATATGTGATATGTGTGTATATAAAATGAGTGTGTTTTATTGTTGTTGTTATGTGTTGTCTAGTCGCCTGTGTCTCATAGTGACCCTATGTACAATGGTGCTAAACCCTGCTCTATTCTGTGCCAAACCTACTGTCACTGACACACCTACCCCCATTACCCCAGTGACTATATCAATCCTTCTAATCAGGGGTCTCTCTCTCCTGCGCTGTCCCTCTACCCTCCCAAACATGACATCCCTCTCCAAGGACTAATTCTTCCTTGCAACATGTTCAAGGTATGTCAGATGAAGCTTCAGAATCCTTGTCTCCAAGGAGCAGCCTAGTTTCACATACATAAATAAATGTAAATATAGAGGGAGGGGCAGAGAGAGAGTGAGCATGCACTGGTGTCTGATTTACCTTAAGTCTAGATATTTGAGTGAAAGTAAAACTATTTGATACAAGATAAATATTTGTTAAAATGCATCTTAAAAGTATTAAAATAATTTTTAAAATATAAAGGAACTTTTAAATTACATAACAAAATACATCTCTTAAATTTTCAGTTCAATGAATTTTGACAATATACATACTCAATCATTACAACAATCATGACCTTTCTATCACGTCAAAAATTTTCCACATGCCTTTGTGCAGTCAATCCTTCTCCCTAGCCTTGACTGATCTGCTTTCTGTCACTACACAGTAGGTCTTTTTTTAGAGCTTTATAATAAGGTATTTACTCTTTGCTGCATAGCTTCTTTTTCTCAATATACTATCCCTCTGTTTGGATACATTGTATTTCCAATCACTTTTAATCTTTTGGTATATTTCTAAATTTTGACTATTATAATGTCTTTATGAACAAGTATTTGTTCAGATGTTTTTCTTTTTTGGGTAAATATCTGTAATTTCTAGATTATAGTCCAAATGTACAGGTAACATTAGGAAACTACCAAAATGGTTTTAGCACTGCATTTCCAACAACGTGAAAACAAAATGTTGTTGTGTACTGTAGAGTCGGAACTGATCTATTGCTGACCCTCTGATGGGAACACAATAGAGCCCCCCCAAAAGACTCACACATGTATGTTCCACTGATGGTAGAAAATAATACCAAGGCAAGTCAGTGGGGAAAGGATAGGCTTTATGACAGTGTTTTGGGGTGTAAATGGATATCTGGAATAAAATAAACATCAACTATTTCATAACACATACCACAAAATTAGCCCAAAACAAACCAACTGGGAAAAAAAAATCCACACATGAGCGAGTCACTTTCTGGATTCTCTATTTAATCTTATTAATGGAGGTTTATAATTTTGAAATCTAGTGCTAGAGGGCTTCTGACTTTTTTGGTGTTGTTATTTACCAAAACTGTTCAGCTATTTTAAATTCTACGTATTTTCACATAACCTTTAGAATCAACTTGTCAATTTCAACTACCAAGCATTCTTGGGATTGTGAGTCATACTGTATTGAATTTGTAGATTAATATGGAGAGAACGGGCAACTTAACTATACTGAGTTTTTCAAAACATAGAGTATATCTATTTAGGTCTATACTTCTTTTAACCATGTTTTATAGTTTTTTCATGGATAGAGTTCATACATTTTGTTAAAACTTATCTCTAATTGTTTCTGGAAGTTATTTTAAGTAGTATTATCCTTGTAATTTCATTTTTCAATTGTTCCTAGTATATTACAGAAATACAGTAAATTTTTTATCTTGACTTTATAACCTGCAAGTTTACTAAAAATTCACTTTTTTTAGTCTAGGAGCTAAATTTTATATTTCTTAGGATTTTCTATCTATCTAATATATAATCTATTTGAATAAAAGACAGGTTTTCTTCTTTAGTATGTAGGGTATATTATACTGGCTGTAAGTTGTTGAGTAGAAGTATGGAGAGCAAACATCTTTATCCTGTTCTTGATCACAAACAAAAACATTGTCTTTTTTCAATATCAGGTATAATATTTTCTGGATATTTCATAGATCCTCTTTATAATGTTGGGAACTTACAATCTTTCTGGTTCACTTGCTTGGGTTTATAATCATGTGTCGAAATTTGTTAAATTCTTCATAAGTGGAAATGATCATATGGTTTTTCTCTACTTTGATAACATGGTGAATCACAGTGTAGGCTTTGGGCTATTAGATAAATATGCATTTCTAGCATAAATATTTGGTTATAATGTAAAATGTGCTTTTTTATAGATGGATGGTCTCAAGGTTGCCAATCTTGAGGTTTTCATCCACACTTATAAAGGTTATACTTAACCACATTTCTCAGAATATTTTTAAAAACAATATAAAAATATTCTGAGATGTAACACAACCATTTCGTCATCAGGCTTCATTGGCAATTATATATGAAAGTTCCTGAGAGAACTTTTGTTTGTTTGTTTTTATTAACTAGATCCTCATGCTTCCTTACTGGGTACATTGACCAATTCAAAATTGATTTCATGTTTACTTTTGGAAACAAGTTGAATTCTGGAACTTTTTTTTTTTTCACTGTAGCTTAATTTTATTCAGATATGCAAGACTAATGAGTAAATTTAAAAAGCAAAGAATCAAACTATGATTTTAAAGTTGTTGTTGTTGCGAATTCTTGAACTTTTGAATGTTCTTATTCTATTCAGAATCACCTTCAAGGAGAATTGATAAATGGGGTTGATATTCCTGAGGCCATTAATAACAAAGTACAGAAGAGATGCTCTTGCTGCCACTGGTCTGTAACATTCTCTGGCTTCGTTGATTTTCATTTCATTTTCTTTGGCTTCAGTCACCTATGTTGAGATAGAAACAAAGATACTCTATATTCTCTGTTCATATCTAAATGACAGAAAAAATAGAGTATAAATAAAAAATGGTTAGTATCAAAATAGATAACATGAAGTGAGTGGTATCGGTATGTTATCAGTTTTTTCCCCTAAGACTAACTTCATACTTTTAAAGATGAGTATTCAATGAGAATAGATAGTTAACAGCTGTAGCTGTTTCATAGGCTGCATATTAAACATATGATTGCTTTTGGTTCTACAGAATTTGTTCCTGAGAAATGTCACCTTCCTCCATCTCCTCTCTCTTCCAGGGGTTAATAACCCAGCTATATCACCTCTCAGGGATAGCTCTTAAAAGTCTGCTGGGTCAACTCAATGCCAATAACTTTATTGGTCAACTAGGTATACAGAAGCAGTCAAGGTCAGTCGATAATATAGCCAATGGCTGAGTTTAGTAAAAAGCCTATCTCTCAATATCCTCATAACTATCTTAATTCTAAGTTTAGAGCAGATAATTCATATGCTAATATACTTCATTTTAGTTTCTGTATCAGCCTCTGTAAACATTTGGATGGATAATTGAAAAACTGGGAAAAAAATCACCATCATCAACAATAGATCAACATATAATTTTTTTATTCAAGTCACAAATAGTATTGCTGGTTTTATAGCTTCCTAAGATAGATAATTTTTTAAAATGATCTTTCATAGACTTGATTTATCATATTTGCGAATGAGAAAGGAAATACAGAAAATGTAGAGAAGTGAAGGAGGTCCTTACCAGATTAAGAAGTTAGGGACAGACATTTCAAGAGACAATTAGAAGCTAACTTCAAAGCTAAGATCTAATTTAGTTAATTGCTCTAATCTTACCATCTTGGGAGCCACCTAGATTTCACTTAAAAGGCTGGAGTAATTTGGGATTCTATTTCCTTGCTGAAATGAAGACAAAGATACTGGTTGTGGTGACACAACCTCTGGTGGGGAATTAATAGATTACCTAGTAATGAGGAAATTCCAGAAGGCAAATAAAGGTTCCTCTCCTTTTGCAAGTGTGGACTTTTCAAAAGTTAATGGCCAAGTGTGAGTCTAAAAGGCACACCATGCATAAAGCGTGTTGGGGGGCTACGTGGACGTTCAGCAAGATGTCTACTCAATGAACATTTCCACTGGCTTTTAGAAAATGTCAGTTTCCCACGGTGAAGAATGCATTTGAGTACAGCAGGAGACCATCCCTTGCTCAACCACCCACCACTGACTGAAGGCCTGTAAACAAAACTTCAGCTCTAAGGATTTCTCTGAAATGTCCAGCAGCCTGCAAAACCTGCTGTGAGGCTGCAGACGCCAGTTCACCAGAGCTGGCTGCTAAGCATTTTTAGATTTTTAAGTCCCAGAAGCCAGCAGGCCCCAATTTTCTCTGCATTTGGGTCACTTAGCACGACTAATGAAAGCATAGTTCTACCATAGTCTCATTTGCATGACTGGATCTTAGCTGAATTACGATAAGCACATGTTTGATCATCCACCTCTCCAGCCAAAAGGATCTCTGGTGGCACAGTGGTTAAGTGACTGCTAACTGGTGGTTTGAAACCACTCAATGACTTCATACGAAAAGCCCTGGTGACCTGCTTCCTAAAGACGAGACTCAAAATCCCTGTGGATTCTGTCACGTGTGGTCGTTATCATCAGAAATCAACTTCACAGCAGACAGATTCATCATCTCCAGTGTGAATGCAGAATAGTCTTATTTTGGTGGGAATGTTATTAACTGACCTGGATTCTAATATTAAGTCTTCTTGGATAAATTTCCAAATTGGGTTATATTTTCAGTTGGAACACTTCATGGCAACCCGATGTTAGGAACCGGCCAGGGCTGCAGGCCTTCCTACCTTCCGTGATATCTCTGCAGCGGTGGCTTTGGTGGTCTCCAGCCTCTCCACCAACTCGGTGTCATCTAGAAAGCTCCCCTCAGCCGCGGACAGGCGCAGGAGGAGGTCATCCTCCAGGTGCTTCAGCTCAATCTTACAGTCATTTTGGTGCTTTGTCAACATCAGCTAATGGAAACCAAGAAAATGAGATAAAGGGTAACAGCTTTAAAAAAAATACATTATTTTTAAAAAGTCATCTGTTTTTGCAGTTGTGGAAAATGTACACACCAAAATGTAAATGGATCCAGCAATTTCCACATGCATAACTCAGCAACGTTGATTATATTCTTCAAGTTGTATAATTATTCCCACCCTCCTCTTCTGAATTATCCTGAACCATTAACATGAATCCATTGCCCTCTAAGCTGCTTCTCTAACTTTTCCATTTGTAAGCAGATGCTTTCAGTAGTGGGTTTATTTAACCAAAAGTTTCACAGGATATATATTCAGTAAAATACACACTAAGTCTCAGTGCTAGTCACTTTTAAACTTTCTTTTAAAATTGAGATTTAATTATTTTCTTAGTAAGTGTAGTTAAATCTTTACATTTTTATATAAATACACCAGCTACAAAGAAGCTCTGGTGGCATAGTGTGTTATGTGTTGAGCTGCTAGCTTATAGGATGGGTATTCCATCCCAAGCCCCTCTGAGGGAGAAAGAAGAGGCTGTTTCCTCTCATTAGAGTTTACAATCTTGGAAAACCAATGAATTGTTGCCATGAATTGGAAATGACCCAGGTGTTGTTGTTATGTGCCGTCGAGCCGCTTGCAACTCATAGCGACCATATGTAAAACAACCCAAAACCCTGCTCTATCCTGTGCCAATCACACTGCCTCCAACACACCCATCCTGATTACCCCAGTAACTGAATCAATCCACATTATAGAGGGTCTTTCCCTCCTGCGCCATCCCTTGACCCTCCAAAGCCTGATGTCCCTCTCCAAGGACATATCCCTCCTTACAACATGTCCAAAGTATGTCAGACGAAGCCCCAGAATCCTTGCCTTCAAGGAGAAGCCTGGTTTAACCCTCTCCAAGATGAATCTGTTTGCTTCCTTGGCAATCCATGGTATATTCAATACTCTTCTCCAGTACCACAGCTCAAAGGCATCAATTCTCTTTCTATCCTCCCTAGTCACTGTCTAACTCTGTGATGCCTAACAAGTGATTGCAAAGACCATAGCCTGTATCATATGCACCTTAGTCTCCAGAGTGACACCATTGCTCTTCAGTACTTTGGGAGGGTCCCTAACAGCAGACTTTCCCATCGCAATACATTTTTTTATTTCCTGGCT